GACCCCTGTCTATCCCACTTACTAGTGTTGCAAGGCCGTTGGCTCATGCTCCCCCGACAACAAGGAGGACGCGGTCTAAGAAGTTGAAGGTGCAGGATTTAGAGTTCACGGATAACAGTTCGAAGTTTGGGGTTTTGGAGTTTGCGAGATCTAGAGCTCCTACTTTCAGGTGACCCAGTTTACGGCCAAGGTTGTAGCTTACTGTCATAATGTCTGTGACTGCTAGGCCCATTACATCTTCGTCTTAACGCGCTTCATGGTCATGTTCTTGCAAAGAGCTTTGTTATGCCGGAACTGGACCCGAGCCTTGAAACGTGTGCGAGAGTCGAAACCCTTTTTTTGGTTTTTTTATTTTGTCATTCTTGCTCTGTACCATGATTCACTACACTTATCTTTGTTTCTCTTCTTAGCATTCTTACCATCATGATCATGATTACTACAGAGTTCTTACAAGTGCCCCGAACCTGACGGATTGGTCTCACAGCGTATGATTTGTAAAGTGGGCCGTCTAGTCATTCTCTTTCGTCGGGAGATCAGTCATGCCGACAGAAAAAGTTCGTGCCCCTGAGCCCGAAGGAGTCATCCTCGCCGTGTCTCGCCGACCTCTTGGTCGCTGAGGCCGCTGCAATAGGATCTTAGGGTTTAGGTTTTGTAAGATTTTTTGAGGACCTCCAAAAGCAGGGGTTCCTATAGACCCTAAACCAGAAGATTCCGCATTTCAAGGACCCCAAAACGGAAGCCCCGAATGAATAGGAGCTTCCCGAAATGCATGCCGCATGTATGGTGTACGTAAAAGGCTGGTTTGTAGATAGGCATGTGTGTCTCTAGAACCCTTAATCCTATTTCCCCAAACGGCCACTATATGTGCCTAGCCCCAGCCCTAATCCCTAAACCCTCATCCACAAAGCCTAATCCCCCTAAACCGTATCAACCCTAAACCCTAAGCCGGCCTAAGCCCATAAGGTCCCTTACAAGGGTCCCTCCTTGAGCCCTTGAGTGTATTACTTTGCGCTTCGGGGTGCTCCCTCGCCCCCTGTCGTCTTGCAACCGGCAAAACCCGGAAAACGCCTGAGGCAGCACATGAAGAACTGCTTAGGGTTTGGGTATAGGGTTTAGGGTTTAGGGGTTTAGGGAAGTGCTAAAACAACACACGCGCACAAAGAAACAAAGAGCCAAAGCAACCAAAGAAACGGCAGAGACAAACGCACACAACAACAAGACCTTAACAAACAAGGAACCACAATCAGGCGGACTAGTCTTTGGAGTGTGCGCGTGTGTGTTGTGTTTTCCGTGTGTGTGCGTGCGCAGTGTCTCATTTAGTAGTCTTTTTTATTTGTAGCATCATTTGTACTACGAGTCGTTTCAGTAGTATCAGTTTTCTTAATATTTCAGTATTTTGTGTCCTCCGGGTTACGCCGCTGTTCGGTGGGGGGGCCTTCTCTCGGTACAGGGACCCCGGAGGCGGCACTAACAGGGTTTAACCCTGGATGAGCACCCTGCACCCGCCCTTCCACCGCAGCGCGTAAGTGACAGTGCCACTCCCCCTTTTCCCTGTCTGCGCCTCGCGGTTTGCCCCGTGGCCTTGTCTGGGTCAACTTGCCATTGTTTTGTTTCTTGCATCTGCCTTGCATGGCACTCGTGGCTGCGCTTTTCGCCTCCTCTTGCCTTGCTGCTCTCTGGCCTGCGTGGTGTGTCGCTTTGCCCCTTCTTCGTCCTTCGTCCCTTCTTGTTGCTCCGCGTTCGCTCCTTACCCCTTGTTGGTGTTCGCTCCTTGGGCCGTTGTGCCTTTTCGGGCTCGTTATGCTGAGTTTGGGCTTGATCCAAGTGCTTCTGTTGGGCCTCATGTGCCCCATTCGCCCTTTCCGGGCTCGAAACGCTGGGTCTGGGCTTGTTGCTTCTTGCAGCGCTTCTGTTGCTGGCTTCTGGGGCCTGAAGTGCCCCATCCCCCTTTTAGGGCTCGTCAGCCGGGAGTTCCAAGTTGCCGTTTTCTGGGCCTGAAGTGCCCCACACTCCCTCTTCGGGCTTGTATCCCTGGGTTGAGCACGTTCCAGATTTGCATTGCTTTGTTGCTGTCATTGGGGACTAAAGTGCCCCAAACCCCCTCCTGGGGCCTGATATCCCCCCATTCTCCTTGTTCGGCCGTTACCCTGGGCTTGGGTCTTTAGCATGGCTTGCAGAGCTTGAGTTCCCTGACTTCCGGGGCCCTCCTTAGGATCAGCGTTCGCACCTGCCACGTCCCTGGTGGCTTTTGCACTGGGTGCCGCTGTTTCCTGGTTTCCGGTGGTCCTCCTTGGGGTCCAGCTCTGGCAAGTGTCTTCGTTGGTTCCCGTGTCTCTGTGTCACCGCTGTTCCCTGGCCTCCGTTGCCTTCCGCGTTTGTGCCGGCCACACCCCCGCTGGCCTCTCACCTGGCGCTGCTGCATCCTGGCTTCCGGTGGTCTTCCTTGGGTTCAGCTTTGGCCTTTGCCTTCGCTGGCTGCCTGTGTCTTGGGACCTTTGCTGGCGACAGGCCCTCTTGGGGTGTACTCCAGCAAGAGCTGGCTCGGCCCTGCGTGTGTCCCGCTTTTCGGGCTCGTTACCCTAGGTCTGGGCTTGTTCCAAGGCAGTGCTTCTGTTGCTGTCTCCTCAACCTGATTTCCCCCTGTTCTCCTGATGGCCGTTACCCTGGGCTTGGGTCTTTAGCATGGCTTGCAGAGCTTGAGTTCCCTGACTTCCGGTGCCCTCCTTGGGATCAGCATCCGCACCTGCCACGTCCCTGGTGGCTTTTGCACTGGGTGCCGCTGTTTCCTGGTTTCCGGTGGTCCTCCTTGGGGTCCAGCTCTGGCAAGTGTCTCCGTTGGTTCCCGTGTCTCTGTGTCACCGCTGTTCCCTGGCCTCCGTTGCTTTCCTTGGGGTCAGCGAGAGCTGACTCGGCCCTGCATGTGCAAATCTCTGGCCGTCTTCCGTCTCGCTTCACACTGCTGAGTTGCTCTCCCTGGTTGTTGCGCTGCGCTTCCGCAAGCTTGGGGAGTGGCGTCTTTTAGCGTTTGTTCGCATGCACTGTTCCATGTGTTCGAAACCGTCACATCTCATTGCAGGCCCAGTTAGTCTGCGCTTGCCTCCCGTTGGTGTGTCACCTCCGCCGTCTCCACGCCGCTCTGACGCGCTCCTGGCTCCTGGGAGTGCCTCGCTAGCCGCTAGCCCCCCCTGCTTGGCGCCTCCACCAACTGCGTGCACCTGCTCAATATAATGTTACCCTCCCGGTTCCCGGTAAACCTTGTCAGTTCTCCCGCATTGCCTTTGTTCAGGTTGGCTTGGCGGGCGTCAACGTCCGTAGCCACCCCAGTCTGCGTACCGCTGTGCCCTGCCCGCACAACGCAATGAAGTTCAAGTTGTTGGTTGCGCGCAGGCCCGGCTCCTCCCAGCTTTGCCTGCCATACGGGCTACCCTCTTGGGTTTGTTTTCTTTGGGGTCTTCTTGGGCAGCTATCGGTCTCAGTGGCGGCGTTCTGGTGGCTATTCCCAGGCCTGCCAATTGCCGGCGGTCACTCGGGCACTTATCCGTCGCTCCTGGGTTTGGGGCCTTCTTGTGTGTGTGAGTGTGTGCGTGTGGGCGTGGGCGGTTGTGGGGGGCGCCTTTGCGGTTTGGTTTGCCGGGTTCGTGGTTGGGGCAAACGTCTCTTGGCTGCAACCAGCTAGTTCCTCCACTTGAACCCTCCGCGGAGGTGTGCCGTGACGTTTTCGGAGCGCACCTGAGATGCGGAGGGGGACGTGGTTGTATGGCAGCGAGTACCCTCGCGTGCCGGTCTTCCTTCCTTCCTTCCTTCCTTCAGTATTTTGTGTATTGTCCTAGTTTTTCGAGTGTGCAGGATATCTGCGACATGACTCTACAATACTTGTTGCCGGGTTGAGTGTGTCCCTGGTGAGGAAGAAACGCCTTTGCATCTTCTGCAGAGAGGGCAGGCAGGAAGAGTTCAGGACCAAAAACCCACATCCTCAAACCCTTTGGGTCTAGATTTAGGGCTTAGGGTTATTAATTCTAAACCTAACCGAAAAATCCCTACACCTCAGACCATATGCCGAACCTTGCACCTTAAACCCTAAGCCCTGTACCCCTACAACCCAGACCCCGCAACAATTGTACCCTAAACCCACCGCGCATGTACTGCGGCTACTGCTACTGCTCCTCCTGCTACTCTACTACAGCTACTGCCACGGAAACTTGCAAGCAAACTGCACCAACCTACGCGAGGATGCTACCCTCGTTCGCCGTCACAGCCCGTCGGCTCGAATCGCACGTGTAAGCAAGCTCAACAGCTCACCATAGGAAGCACACAAAAGAGCGCACCTCGTCCTACATGGCCGCTATTCCGGGCTGGCCAGACAAAACAGTCCACGAGGCTAAGCCTTGAATTGCTAATCTTAGGGAGATTGCTGCCGCGCTCTCGTATGCTGGCAGGGCTGTTTCGCTTCGTGCCTGTGCGATTGTAGTTTTCGGTGTGCAGTGTAGGTGTAGCGACAAAGTAAGCTTCCGTCTGCGCATGTTCGCTCGAGCCAAAACACGCGCGTCCCGTGGTGTCGGAGCTACATTAAGAGTGACTCGTGCTGCTTCTATTTGTGGGATACCGGTCCTTTTTGTGCCTCTCTGCTGGATTTAGCTTGACGCTACTGCTACTGTTGCTGCTACCAACCTCCCATAAACCTCAATCCTGGTCCTTGGAAGGGGCACACCTCTGTCCAGACCCAGCAAGCACGCAGCCACGCGGAGACCCAGGAAGGAACGTGCGAGCTTGCCAAAAGCATGTGCATAAGTTGCTACAGGTATAGAGTATACAGCTTGCCATAACCCTGAACCCTAAACACTAATTACTTGCATCCCTACAGTGCGTTTTGGAGAGAGGATGCTCGGCAAGTGGCCAAAAACACCCAACACCCCATCCCCTTCTCCGCGTCTCCCCTGAGGTGGACGATTGAGCAGGTGCTAGAAGGCCCCGAGCTTGGTGAATACCCCCTCACCGAGAAGATGAAGGGTCAGCCCGTGGTGCTCCAGCGGACATGGCAACAGTAAAGCCTAAACCAGCAGTATAGTAGAACGCAACCTGTTTTTGAATTCTAGTAAAGAATCTCCCCTCAACTCTTCTTTGTCAAAACCTGTCGTTCTTGGCCTGTACCCAAAAGAAAAGAGCTCAGCACACCGATGTCACCGATGTTTAAGAATTGTAGTTTCCATTAGGAGCCAGCGTTTGTGTTGGTACGTGTTGAAGCGCTTCCGGAGCAGCCGAGGTGCTGAAGGTTGCAGCCGGCAAGCACGGCGATTTTCAGATTAGTACCAAGGCCTAGGATCCGTCAAAAGCGAGCTCTGAACGTGCTTCGGGTCTTTCGACCTTGATACTGGCAATAGTTGCAAGTATAGGGTTAGTAGCGCTAGTAGTCATCGTAGTGACAGTAAAGAAGGTAGCCAGAGAAGTTCTTGTAAGAGAAAGAACAAAAGCATAGTAGCAAAAGTAACATCGTGACATAGTAATAACAGTAACAATTGCAGTGGTGTTTCAAATAGGGCTACAATAATTGCATCAGCAATAGCAGTAAAACCAGCAGCTATAGAAAGATAGGCAACAATTGGATATGCCCTCTTTTGACCCTTTTGGGTCCTGGAAATTCCTAAACCCTCAAGCTTGTCGGGGTTTTTGGGTGGAGTGCTTCGCTTTTTGTTGCCCCTGGGAAGGTCGTGAACATCCTCAGGTTCACCGCGTCCTCACACCCGGATGCGGGCTTGGCGCCCTTCGACGCTCTGGTGGTGAAGCCCGGCATGTCGACGCTGATGGCTGGTCCAGAGTCGATGATGGAGGTGTGGGCTTAGGGTTTAGGGTTGAGGGTTTATAGGGTTTAGGGGTTAGGGTTTAGGGTCGCTTTGGGCCAACAAGAGCTCCGTGTTCGGGCAAGGTTTGGTGCAGAATCTTAGGTTTGCAGTGCAACGTTCATACACGACGTGCTTGGCGCTAAATGGGTTTTGAGCCTGGAAGGGTGCAACAAGAAGTCTGCGTGAGTGCGGGGTATAAGACTGTACAGATGCATGTATCAATGCATGTATGTACGAATGTATGTATCATTGTACGTATGGAAAAAGTATGATCTTCATGTAAGGTAGTGTACTGTAGCAGACCGTAATGACATGCAGTGTAACATAGTGCACCGGCTCTACGTAGCTATATATTCATTCTACCGCAGGTTATCCCGCTCATTTCCATTCCACCTTGCATCCTGTTCTCTCTACTGGAGTACTAAACCCTAAACCCTAAACCCTAAACCCTAAACCCTAAACCCTAAACCCTAAACCCTAAACCCTACATCCATCTGTTGACCCCGTGTGCCCTTCCATCCCTACAGGCCGAGGTGACGGTGTCTCACGGTCTGCGGGATGCCCGCAAGTGGCTGCTTGGTAGGCCCCTGGAATATTTTTTATTTCCCCTAATTGAGGTTTAAGAGGATCATATTCAGGAATCTTTTTCAGAGGGTTTCAAAGGCCATCCTAGGTTGGTTTCCAATGGCAAGCTGATCATCACCGGCCCAATTTTTGAAATCTCCTGCGTCAGGGCAGCGGAGTGAGTCTTTTCCGGATCTTTCCGGTGGATGCAGATCGTTTCGTCGCCACAAGAAGCGTCAGAAATTGGGCACCGTCGCAGTCCATCCCCCATGTCCACGTCCCCGATGTTTCTGCCGAAAGCGATTCTATCCATCAAAGATTGCACTGAAGAATTGAACAGCAACAAAGGGTGGATAGAATTTTGAATCTGAAGGAGATTGGAGATATCATATGTTCTGAATGCGCATGTCTTTCTTTGATCTGCAAGTATCCCGAACCTGGAGTCAAGGGAGGCTTGACATTCAAAACTTAAACCCTATAAACCCTATAAACCCTATAAACCCTATAAACCCTGTAAACCCTATGAACCCTATAAACCCTATAAACCTTACCCTAAACCCTCATCTGAAACCTGCATTGACCGACGCGCTGCTCAGCAGCTGAAAGGCTCACAGGAGACCCCTAATCTCCAAAGCCTAGCACCCCTAAACCCTGTAAGCCTAAACCCTAAAGGTTAAGGGTTAAGGGTTTAGGGTTTAGGGTTTAGGGTTTAGGGAAGCCTTAAACCTGTTTTACGAAAGCCTGAGGCCAACACTTGGAGGCCAAGGCACAGGTCGACTCGACAGTTCAGGGCTGGGAGCTTGCAGGCTGAAGCGAAAGCTTTCAGGACAGCAGTTCCAAGTTCCCCCGAATCCCCTGGTTTAGGGTTTAGGGTTTAGGGTTTAGGGTTTAGGCTTTAGGGTTCAGGGTTTTAGGGTTTAGGGTTTTAGGGTTTAGGTTCCAAGTTCCCACCCCTGAATCCCACGTTCAAAGGGTGAACTTCGGGTTTGGGAGTTAGGCTTGTTGGGTCTTTAAGGTTGCCCTGGAGACCAAAACCCAAAACCTGAACCCTTATCCTATACACAAAACTTCTAACCAGAACCCTCCAGAATACTACCTCGGAACCGCCAGACACATCTCAACGATCCTAAACTTGAACCTTGTACTACAGGGGTCGGAATAACTACTTAATGGCATTCCCTCATGGTCCCTTTATAATTATACATTCCAATAACAACCCCCCCCCCCCCAAAAAAAAAAAAAAAAAAAAAAAAAACTATTCTAGTTAGTAAGGCGCCGATATTACTCTCTCAATCAACGCTGCCCCGCCGGAGCCATGGCCGCCGGCTACCGCGGGACGGTCGAGGTGGCCTCGGGCTGGCTTGGTGGCACCCTTTTTCCCTTTTTTGGGGTTCACGTGGTTTAGGGTTTTAGGGTTTAGGGTTTAGGGTTTAGGGCAAAGTCACCAACCCCAAACAGGGTGTCCTCATCAGAATATGGTTACTTGGCCTCTCCTGGCGGGTCCAAAAACAGCAGGTTAGACAGAAACACAACGACCTCACTCTTCCCAGCGCGAGTGAAGGCTGGAGCCTAACTCCAAGACACCAACCACAACTCGGGGCTCAGTATATAATACGGGCGGGGATCGGAACAATTACCAATATCATTCCCTCATGGTCCCTATATAACTACCCTATAACAACCCCCAAAACCTTATCCTAATCATTCAGAAGAAACTGCCAACTTTCAAGACCTACGCCTGCCCTGGGCAGGGTGTATGGGGTCTGCATAGGGTTCATATAACGTGTTTCTGGGGTTCACGCAGGTTCACATTCACATAGGGTTCACATAGGGGCAGGTTCACATTCATATAGGCTTCACATAGAGGAAATTTTGAACAGGGCTTGTAAGGGGTTTTAGGGTGTGGGGGGGGGGGGGGGGGGTTGGGACCTTGTAAGCCCCAGAAAGTTGCGCTTCTTGTGCCAAAGGGGCCCAAAGTCCTGCAGCCCTCGGTTCTCTGGGCGCAGCGCAAGGACCGGCCATTCGGCGATGTGCGGGTTTAGGGTTTAGGGTTTAGGGTTTAGGGTTTATAGGGTTTTGGGCTTATAGGGTTCTAGGGCTTTAAGAGTTTATAGGGTTTAGGGCTCATCTCGTTTAAGGTTAAAAAGGAGCTTTAAACAACAGAACGTGCCGTAGCGTGGACGTAGAATAGCATGGTTTCCCTAATTATTAATTTCATGTTCCTTAGCAACCCAGCTCAGCGACGAGGACCTCAGGTTTCACGCCTTGAGCATATTTTAACACCGACATGCCCAAGCGGAGGGATTCAGGTTTGGGGGTGAGGGGCAGGGCCAAGCAGGGGGGTTGGAGTCAGCAGGAGTTGAGAGTTGAGCACTGGTCTGGGAGCGCGAGTTTGGCTCAATGTTGGGGTGCAGGGTCTGGCACCTTGGGGGGCGGGGGGGGGTTCAGGGTAACAGGCATCCCTAAACCTTAAACCCTAAACCCTATAAAACTTTGGGTCTCGGGTGCTGCGCCCAAAACGGTTTCGCCCCAAGTGGCCTCAGATCCGCAGGATTCGATCTTCGTGACGGTTGATGTCAAGGACAGCCAGTATCATCCCTGGACCTGCACCTTACGCCCCCAAACCCGACAACCCTGAATCCTACACCCTTTGGGTGTAGGCTTCAGGGTTTAGGGTTCAGGGTTAGGGTTTAGGGTTTAGGGTTTAGGGTTTAGGGTTTAGGGTTTAGGGTTTAGGGTTTAGGGTTTAGGGTTTAGGGTTTAGGGTTTAGGGTACACTAACTTAGGAGGGTTTGGGGTTTAAAGCTGTGGAGCATCTGGGCCCGAAGCCCGCAAAGTCCCATGTTCCCCCTGATCGTAGCAATAGGAAGTAGGGTTTAGGGTTTAGGGTTTAGGGTTTAGGGTTTAGGGTTTAGGGTTAGGGTTTAGGGTTTAGGGTTTAGGGGTTTAGGGTTGAGTTTTGTGTGGAGTATACTGCAGCAGAGATCATAACGCTTCCAATAGCAGTGCACAAGTCCATTTTTTTTCCATCCGGTCCATTTGTCCTCTAGCCAGGCTAGGCTAAGACGTTCAAGTTGCATTGTGAGCAGCGAGGGGGGGGGGGTACTTCATATCCCTGCCGTGGCCTCTACTGCAAAACAACTTATATAATCCTGACCCCTGGACTCGACAGCATGCAGGCTCAGGCAACGTGAGGTACTGAGTGGGTGTCGGCGCCGCCAGGACGCGAAAGACGTGTCCGTTCAGCTGGAGGATGAAAGCCTGCGCCCAAGCACGCGAGAGGGTTTTTGGGCTTTAGGTTGTAGGGTTAGAGTTTAGGGATTACTTAGGGTTTTATTAGGGTGTGGAGTCTAGGATTGAGATTCGCGAGGGGCGCATACAGGCTTTTGCTGTTTCGAGATACGATGGAGCCGGGGGCACGTCGTATGATAGCTCTCTAACCTTTAGACTGCCAAGCAGTGCCCTTTTGGCCCAGGTTCTCTTTACCCCTTCGCGGAACCTACATGCCTTTGACACTGCACGACCCGCCTCGGCCTTTCGGCCTTGGCCTGCCTGCGGCAAAGGAACCCAAGCCGGAGATCGCGGGTGTGAAGTCTGGAGTGGTAAAACAAGAAAACAAGCCGACCGGGAAATTGGTGTCCACCCCTATGGTCGGCTGAAATACGCCCTGGTCCCCTGTGGTGTATACCCATTCCAGGCGCTGTCCCGGGCTGTTGTGGAGATGCGGCTATGGTAACTGCACTCCCCGAAAAAAAAACAGGGCGCCCTTTTTTCTCCCAGGTAGTGGGAACCTAACTCTTGAAAAGTTGACGCCTGGAGGACGGAAGAACGAAAACCTAAAGCCCTAATTAACCCTCAGCCCTAAACCGTAAACCTTCCCCAAGACGGCCCGAACCCAACGATCTCCCTCAGCAGCTCATCACCCCCTGCGGATACTGAGGCCTCAACTTTTCCGCCAGAGGTGGCGAGGAGCCACCCCACCTGGTGAGTTCTGTTGGTGGGGAGGGGGGGGGGGGAAAGGGAAGGGGGGTAAGGCAGGGTTTAGTTTTAGGACTTGGGGTTTAGGGTTTTAGAATTTTAGGGTTTTAGGGTTTTAGGGTTTTAGGGTTTTAGGGTTTTTAGTTTTTTTTAGGGTTTTAGGGTTTTAGGGTTTTAGGGTTTTAGGGCTTTAGGGCTTTAGGGCTTTAGGGCTTTAGGGCTTTAGGGCTTTAGGGTTTTAGGGCTTGGGGGGTGGGAGGGAGTTGGTTCTCGAAGTTGTGGTCACCTTCGGGGGCCCCTCCTTGTTCATGTTTTAGGTTGAGGGGTTTAGCGTCTACTTGGGGTTGAGGGCTCTCTACTATCGTTCCCTTTTGGGTTTCCGACGATGCACTGTGCCGGAGCCCTTATAGTTATAGGGCACATACAGGCGTTAGATGCTTCAGTTTGGGGGTCCCTGCTGTATCATCCCCATACCCCAAGACCCAAAACCCTGAACAACGTTAAACCCTAAACCCTAAACCCTAAACCCTAAACCCTAAACCCTAAACCTCATTGCCATCACCAACCCGAAGCTTGAGGACGGTGCGGCCTACTCATTCAACCTGGACCTCTTTGCGCCGATTCGGCGGGAGGCAGTCGAGGGTTTTAGGTCTCAAGGTCCAGGGTTGAGGGTTTAGGGTTTAGGGGTTTGGGGTTTAGGGTTTAGGGTTTAAGGGGTAGGGTTCTAGGTTCAGAGTTTGGAGTTTAGGACCCAAGCCTCCACGTACTTTTGGCAGGCTTGCTGCATGCTTTCAAGAGGGGTCAGGGGCGATGCCCCCCTCACAACCAAAGTAATTAGTAGGAATCATTCGGGGCCACCCCTAAGGCCTACACCCTAGACCACCCTCGACGCCAGAACCCTACTGCCCTTCGCAAGCAATTCTCCCAGAAGCTTCGCCACCCTAAACCTTAAACCCTAAACCCTAAATATCCTAAACACCCAAAATATGCCCCATAAGCCCTAAACCCTGGTATCCCCGGGCCAGGAGTCCAAGTGCAGCACGAAAAGATGTCCCGTGCGCCGCCCTCGGGGCACGGGCCTGGAATCCTCGGGTTTGGTTTGGGGTTTAGGGTTTAGGGTTTGGGGTTTAGGGTTTAGGGTTTAGGGTTTAGGGTTTAGGGTTTAGGGTTTAGGGTTTGGGGCTTCGGGTTTGGGGTTTAGGGTTCAGGGTTGGTAGGGTTTAGGGTTTGTAGGGTTTATAGTGCATGGGGTTGTAGGGATTAGGGTTTGGGGTTTCGGGTTCAGAGCCCAAAGCCCTCAAACCCTAGACCCTACTCAGGGCCCAGGGTTTGGAAACCCAAGGCCGCCCCCGGGGCCTTGCTTGCCTCAGGTTCTGCCTCCGGAAGGTCAACTCACAGACCTGGCCGGAAGCCCACATCGAGCAGCGCGTGCTATTCAGGTTTGGGGTTGCAGGGCTGTAGGGTTTTAGGGTTTTGGGGCTTTAGGGCTTTCTAGGGCTTTATAGGGCTTTATAGGCCTTTAGGGCTGTCGAGGGTTTTAGAGGTCCGGGCCTTGAGGGCTTTGGGGCCTCAGAGTTCTTCAAGACTCAGGGTTCCGGCTCGAATTTGCACGCGTTTTGCGGGGGCTTCTGGCTTAAGGGTTCAGCGCCCGCCCAGAGCCTTCTAACGAGCCAACGCCACGCAGCAGCCAAGGCCAAGAAGGAACTGGGCGTGAAGCTGTAGAAGGGCACCTATCAAGTCCATAAATCCTAAGACACCCTAAACCCCAAGCCCTTAAATCCTAAACCCTAAACCCCTAAGCCCTAAACCCCTAAACCCTAAACCCTACAAGCCCCGCAGCTTGTTGATCAGCACTGTTCTCAGGAGCAAGCCACTGCCTTGGGCATAGACGGGCCACACGTTGACTCCCACAGGGACGACATGGATGACAGTCTGGAAACCAGGATATGCTGCAGCTTGCAGGGAAAGATTTCCAGCACACCATTAGACAGCATGCACTCACATTGCAACTTAACAGGGGGCTTAGCTGCCGACCACCAGGTACATTGGACTTACAAGAGCTCCACCACAAGCAGCTTGAAGAAAGGGAGCCGCCGCTTCGCCGGCTCGCAGTTTAGCATTGATGACCGCCCCAAACCCCAAGCCCTAAACCCCAAACCTCTAAAACCCCAAACCTCTAAAGCCCCTAAACCCTAAACCCCCAACCCCCAAACCCTGGACCCCAACCCCCAAACCCGAAAACCCCAAACCCTAAGCCCCCACACCCTAAACCCCACACCCTAAACCCTAAACCCCTAAACCCCTAAACCCCTAAACCCCTAAACCCCTAAACCCCTAAACCCCTAAACCCCTAAACCCCTAAAACCCCTAACCCCTAACCCCTAAACCCCTAACCCCCTTAAACCCTAAACCCCTAACCCCTTAACCCCTGAACCCCTGAACCCCTGAACCCCTTAACCCCTTTAACCCCTTAACCCCCCCCTTAACCCCTACCCCTTAACCCCTAACCCCTAACCCCCCCTAAACCCCTAAACCCTAACCCCAACCCCCAAACCCTAGACCCTAAACCCCTAAACCCCCCCCAAACCAACCCCTAAACCCTAACCCCCCTAAACCCCCCCTAACCCCTAAAACCCCCTAAACCCCCTAAACCCCCTAAACCCCTAAACCCCTAAACCCCTAAACCCCTAAACCCTAAACCCTAAACCCCTAAACCCCTAAACCCCTAAACCCCCCCTAAACCCCAATCCCTAACCCTAAACCCTAAACCGCCTAAACCCCAATCCCTAAACCCCTAAACCCCTAAATCCCTAAACCCCTAAACCCCTAAACCCCTAAACCCCTAAACCCCTAAACCCCTAAACCCCTAAACCCCTAACCCTAAACCCCACACCCTAATTCCCAATCCCTAAACCCTAAACCCCTAAACCCCCTAAACCCCCTAAACCCCTAAACCCCTAAACCCCAATCCCTAAACCCTAAACCCCTACACCCCTAAACCCCTAAACCCCAATCCCTCAACCCCTAAACCCCCTAAACCCCCCAAAAGCTCTAATTATCCCAGCCATGCGTCGAGGCCTCGGCTGCAAAAGGGCGGGAAGCTGCCCTGGGTGGGCAGCCGAGTCTTCTTCCGCTGTCCCTTCGTGGGGTCTCGGGGTCTTGGGGGTTTAGAGCTTAGGGTCTAGGGTTTTGGGTTTCGGGTTTTGGGGGGTTTTGGGGGGTTTAGGGTTCAGGGTTTGGGGCTCTGGGGGTTTAGAGCTTAGGGTTGAGGGTTTGGGAGGTGTTCGGGTTTAGGGTATGGGGTTGGGGTTTAGGGTGGAGGAGCCCCCTAAAGTGGCTTGGAGTTGAGGGGTTTGGCAGGCCCGCATGGTTTCAGAAGGTTTCAGTGTTTAGCAACTTTGGGCGGAGGCCCCAAATCCTCAAACTCACAAGCCCCGAACAAAACCCTCGAAACTTAAAGGTCCTAGACTCGCCTAATCCCTAAAAGGGTTGAGGGTTTAGGGTTTAGGGTGCTCCAATCATAGCACAATATATAGCTCCGCTTCAAGCTTCAAGGTTTAGATACTGAGGTCCTGAAGGTTGAGTTGCGGCCCTCTTTGCCTTACCAGCAGTCTCCACCTGCACCAGATCAGCTTGGGTCTTGATGCTTGGGTTCTAGGCTTTCAGCGTTTAGAGCTTATGGCTTTAAAGGTTTCTGGGCTTAGTGTTCTGGCCGACCTGCGCAGCGACCAGGTGAAAATCGACTGGCAGAAGTGGGCGGCGGCACTGAGTAAAGGGGAACCTGATAAGGGTCTGGGTTTCAGCTCTTATGTTTTTTCATTCAGGGCCCTGGGCCCAGGGGACTACTGGTGCGCTGTGAGGATGCAAGGGTTTCAACTGCTTGCTGTGAGGCATGAAGCCTGAAGCAAGCTGTTTTGGGCATTCGGGTTGGAAGTGGCAGCAGCAGAGCCCGACAAACTCATCAAGAACGCTGGTGGTCAAGTCAGGGTTCTTCTGATTGTACAGGGGGCTGGGTGATTCCCCTGCCCCCCCATCTTCAGGCCCTCTCTATGTGGCCCTATAGGGTGCAGCCTACGAGACTGGAACCCAGATGAAGTTATCCTGAACATCGGGTACCTGACTCTTTAACTCCGCCGGAACCAAGAACACCAGACCCTAAAGCCTAAAGCCCTTTTAAGTCTATCAAACCAAAGCATAGCAACCTGCCTCCCTCACTCCGTATTTATATCCCCAAAGCCCTGCGTAATTCCTAAAACCGTCCTCATGCTTGCCCTAAACCCTGCAAACCCTACAAAGCCCTACAAAGCACTGACCCCAAATTCGAAACCCCTAAACTCAAAACCCCTAAGCCCCTAACCCGTAACCGTGTTTCGGCGTAACCCCAAACCCCAAACCCCAAACCCCAAACCCCAAACCCCAAACCCCAAACCCCAAACCCCAAACCCCAAACCCTAAACCCTAAACCCTAAACCCCAAACCCCAAACCCTAAACCCTAAACCCTAAACCCTAAACCCTAAACCCTGAGGCAGATTCCGACGAGGAGGATGAGAAGGGCGCCTTCGACACCGCCGGACTGGAAGGCTGGTCTCCTGCACCCCACACCCTCAGCCCACCATGGGAAAGAAACAGACCCAGGGTTCAGGGTTTATAGGGTTTATAGGGTTTATAGGGTTTATAGGGTTTAGGGTTTAGGGTTTAGTTTTTTTTTTTTTTTTGGGGGGGGGGGGGGGGGGGGGGGGGGGGGGGGCGGGGGTTCAGGGTGTGGTGATTTCAGGATGATTTAAAGTGGGAAACTGTGTTCCGGGGTCCTGGGGTCAGTGTTTAGGATTGGTGGCTCGAGGTTTGGGGTTTAAGGGTTTAGGGTTTTGGGTATTTTAGAACCAGGCTGGAGGCCGATCTGGTGGGTTTGCTGATTAGGGTTTGTGTGTTTCGGGCTGGGGGATTTAGGGCTTTGGCGGGGCTGGTGTTTGGGGTTTCGGGCTTCAAGTTTCTTTGTGACCTTCGTCTGTGGTCCTTCCACAAGCCAGCAGCAACAGCACCCGAACGCCCGAACGCCAACAAAACATCGGACCCTGGCTAAGGACCCTGGAAGCTAAACAGCCCTGGAACCTGAACAACCCCAGAACGCCGAACAAACCTCGAACATTTAAACCCTGAAAACCTAGAACCTTCACCCTCCAAATTCCCAAAATCTTTATCAGCCCCCCAAACCTTAGCTGGCTGGTTCTTAGTAGGGACTGAGCGAATGAGGCACCCTAATGAATCCCTTAAAAGCTTATGGGTACATAATCGCGCCCTCATTCCCTACGAAGAACTGGGGGAGTCCCAGAGCACCTTTGAACCCCAAACTCTCCCCCCAGAAATGGACTTCAGCGGTCTGAGCACAGAAGATGTCGAGGGGTCGGGGCCCTTGACCGGCGGGTTTCCCTGGCATCTTACTTACTGTTGGCTGGTAGGGAATGAGGGAATGAGGTACCCTGTATCCCCCAATATATACCCTTTGAGGGATTATATGGGGTGCCTCATTCCCTCATCTCCTACTAACCAACAGTAAGCTTAGGGTGCATGATTTGGGGTTTCGTCTGTTGGGGTTTTGGGGTACATGGGGTTTACGATATTAGGGGTGCCTTATTGGGGTCTTTATTTTACGTAAGAGCATCCTACAATGTGGGGGTCTATCATGGGGTCCCCTATTTTCGTAAACCCCCCCACTTGGGCTTAGGGTTTCGGGTTTAGGTTTCAGGGTGCCAGGTGTTCATTTTGAATGTCAGGGTTTGGGGTTTGGGTGGTCCACCATCGACTTTTGAGCGCAATAGTTTCTAGTATCGAATGGTTGTTCTGAGTTTATGTAAAGGAACTCCGACCAACGTTTGCATCATGTGGGATAGGTTTTCTGTATTGCGTAATAATATGTATTGCGCATCTGTTGATTCTATCTTTTCAGTTCCCTTTAGTAGTATGGGGTGTCTTTATGACGGAAACTTGATTCATGAAAAGCTCCTCAACTGCATTCAAGGGGAGGGGTTCTCCTGGTCGGCCATGTCTAACCCTTCTTTGAATGTCCCAAGCCTTAGCTCCGGAACCCCGGTGAAATACTGTAGGCCCAACGAACACAAACTCCTAGGCCCTGAGCGGCTAAGCCCTGTAAACTTCCCCCGCGGCCCGACAGCGTAGCTTACCCAGCCCGCACGCACGCTTGCACTTGCTAGACATCAAACTCGCAAAGCCCTAAGAACTTCCTAAGCCCTAAGCCCCGCATCATGAAGAACTCTAGGCCCCAAACCCTATGAATTAAGCCCAGAGCCAAAACCCTAAACCCTAAACCCTAAACCCTAAACCCCTCCCAACCCCAAACTCCACTAACCCCTGACCAAGCCCGGAGGTCCGATGACCGCGACAGCATCCTCGCAGACCTTGACGAGGCTGGCTGTAGGGTTTAGGGTTTAGGGTAGGGGGTTTAGGGTTTAGGGTTTAGGGTGTAGGGTTTCGGGCCGAGGGGTTGGAGCTAGGGTTTAGGGTTTCGGGTCTAGGGTTTAGAGTTAGGGTTTAGGGTTCAGGGTCTAGAGTTTGGGGTTTAGGGTCTAGGGTCTAGGGTCTAGGGTTTAAAGTTTAGGATTGGGGTTGGGGGGGCGAGGGGTGGAGGCCCCAATAAAACCCCACAAGCGAAACACCCTGAACCCTAAAGCGACCCCATAACCCCACTGAGCCGAAGCTGTGAGGA